TTGAGTATGCCACGCCACGAAAATGACTCCCCTCTGTGTTTTTGCAGCATACTTTTTGGCGTTGGCACCGAACTGTTCCAGAAGTCGCTTTCGCCTTTATTGCATGTGAATCGAAGCATATTTCAACTCAGATTAAAGATTTTAACATTTAATGATGGCTATTGCTTATTTAGAAATTTGGCAATGCGAATGAAAAGTATGCGAATTTTTCCAGAAACTGTTGGTTGAAATTAATTCTAAGGGACTGTAAAGCATTTTTCTTGGATATAGAACATAATTGGTAATTATAATAACTATAATGCGAATTCTCGCACATGTTTTTACTTTCATTTGGTAATGTTTTTTGTAAGACAGTGAGAATATCTTCGGCACGCCGAAGATTTTATACCCTTGTAGGCAATTGCCTTATGCAACTAAGTTTTTCAAAAAGTATACTTCTGTATAAATCAGAAAATTTTCAAACTGCTTCACACCTAATTTTGTTTTTCGAGCAGTAAACATAATCGAATAAGGATAATTGAATAGTATTTACTTTCTAACTTTTGCATTCAAATCTTAAGCAATTTGTTTGCTTGCCTCGTGCCTAGCTCTCGCGTTTATTCCATCTCGAATGAAAAGCGTTTGAATAGGTGAAAATCCTGGGCATAACTTACAGGTTGTTCGGTAAGCAGCTTAAAGAGCTTCGCAGCTTATCGCCTGCTTAACAGGCGCACACACAGTTTGCCTCAAGTGGCAATGTTACGCGCCCCCCCCCCCCCCCCCTCTCCCCTTCACCAACATGACCTGCCCCTGGCAGAGGATTGCGTCGCAATTAAGCCGCAGTTGGAGAAGAAGATCATTTTCATCTGCCCGAATGATGAGTGCGATTCAGGGCTTTGTTTATGCTGCGGCCGCTCATAACTTGTCATAAATTTGACAGCCGCAGCGCTTGGCGTATGCGGGTCCATTATAATAGAGCTGCGAGCCGGGCATGAAGATGTGGATGGAGATGGGCCTCAGCATGTTCCCACATAGTTTTGGATTGCAAATATAAATGACGCACTAATTGCAGCGAATGCCTTAAAAATGTTTTTTGATGCGTTTTCCAATTGGGGACCAAGTGCCATAAAAACCGAAAGCATCTGAAAACGAAGAGGAAACCGTAGCAGAAGAGGAAGCTGTGCATTTTATGGCGCACACAGCAATTGGCTATGAAATTAATTTGGAGAGCAAAAACTGAACCGAAGCAGAAGCAAAAGCAACAGCAGGAACTGAAGTTAATGTCGCATGCAACGCGATGACCCGCAACAACACGAGAGCAGCACCCGCTGCCACATGTGTGGCATAGAAAACAACAACAACAACAACAACTAGTCACTATGCAGTATTCAGTATTTACTATACAGTATTCAGCACTCGCCATTCACTAGGCAGCACTCACTGTGCACCTGAGCCCCATCGCCAGCTGCCCCCTTTGAAGTCGGTCGCAGCCATTTCGGTGGCTCCTTCGCCTTTGATGTGACTGCGCCTCCAACGCAGAATGCCACAAAATTAAAAAACCAGCAAATTAAAAGATGGCAGCAGCAACAGCAGCAGCTTGGGGCATCATAATGGGTGCATCAGGAGGCGCCTAGTCGCCAATTAAGAGCCAAGAATAGACGTTGACCACTTCACATGATTGAGCGATTCAGGCCAACAACATCAACGGACAACGGACAGACGCAACAACAACAACTGCAACAATAACAGGTAAACCAACAAATGTGTCGTTGACTGATTGACTATGAGATACCCTCTGTATTCTATATTGTATTTTACTTTTAAAGAGCTGTACAAACAGCAAACATAAATGAAATATTTAAAAAAAAATAATCGAATTAAACAAATAAGAAATTCATTTAAATAATAACTTAATTGATTAATAAGTGCCATTTTTACCTTTATACCTAATATATTTCCATATTCATAAAATGTTTACTTGAAGCTTAAATGGATCTAAAAGTTATATGAAAAAAACAACCATCCGTAGAGCACGAAAATCGCGATTTGATATATTTTAAAGTGTTTCTTGAAAATAATTAGAAACTAAGGCTTTTTTTATTATAGTTGAGATATGTATAAATTTTATACCTTACTAATAACCATTCGTTACCTTGATAAATTCTGTTCAATCCTTAATAACTTTCAATTTAAACTTGTGGGTTGATGGAAATTTTTTTTCTATCTGCTTTCTTCATAAAAATTCAAGCTCTTAAGCTTTCGTATGGTATAGCTTAGATAGGTATAAATGTTATACCTAAAAACTATTCCTAACAAATTTTGGACAAACATTGGAAACCTCGACATTTCAGTTTAGATCTTTTCAAAACTTCCTTCGAATATCTAAACAGTTACTTACCCACTAATAATTTGTGTATACCCCATTTAATAGTTTCTTTACAAGTCATAATAAGAACCGACAGCAGACAGCAAAACAAGACGTCATTAGTGGCAGGTGTCTGTAAAAATGTTTAGACTTGGCCAGTGTTTGATTTGTGTTGCTTTTTCAGCATTTCGAATCTTCAAAATTTTGTTTCTTCTTCAACTTCTTTTTTTTTTTAAACCGAAAATTGCCTTTTCATAAACAATGAGAAAACTTTGGATGTTTGCATTCCGCTTTTTCCGAAGACTTTCAAAGCCGACAGCAAACACAGGAAATGTGCTGCAACATTTTCAAATTCCCTATGCGAGTGGACACATTACCAGGGGTTGTGGGACGGCAGTTTTCTAGGGGGGTTGGGGGGTCACTTCAAAGACCTTTTGAACAGTTGGCGACAATTAGCTGAAAAGCTGAGCGTCTAATGGACTCTGGCATGCCATCGACGCATTAGATGCGTATCCCTGACAGGGGAGTGGAACGACGAAAGGCGTGATTTGAATGACAATGTTTTGGCAATGCAATTTTACGCTACATTTAACATTGATCAATTTGACTGGTCAATGTCGCTGACCTTCTCAAGGGATGGAGGTAGGTCAATGCGTAGGCATTATTGCAGTGGCATTTACTTGGGGGTCAGCCAATAATTATTGAAGCAAGGGCTCGTTTTTGAAGGGTAACTTAGTAAAAGAAGAGAGAAGAGCTTTTATGCTTCATATTATTTTGAAAATAAAATGTGAATAGGTTTTTTAGTTTGTAAGTTAAATGCAATCAATATATGCCCCGAAGAAGAGTAAACGTAATTGTATAATTAATAAATTAATAAATAAAATAAAGCAGAACTAGAATTTCCACGCATTACAAATATTTATCGAAATATAAGAAATATTGAAAACGATTTTTCTAAAATTTCAATTTCTTGTTGCATACTTTTTGACAGCTTAAATATTAATTTTAAATCGCACTTTCGCACATCACGGAATATTAGATTGCGAACATTACATATTTACTTTTAAAATATCTATAATTATTATAAATAAATATATTACAGCTAAGCAGCACATGTCTTGATACCTTTAAAGAACTTAAGTTCTAGGTACTTACTGCCATTTACCATAGAACTTTTTGCACTTATGATCATCCGAATGCGTCGTTTGTCTATTAGCAGTCCAGACTTTCAGCTCATTGAGAATCATTAAGGGAGACGCATTCATTGTGTGCCCGCTGGGCACAGCTCGGCGACGGCGTCTCATGCTGATTGAAAATGCGCCCAAACAAAAAACTACTCAAAGAACATTCACAATTTACCTTTACACGCCGGCGAGAGCGAGAGAGTGGTAGCGAGACAGAGACAGAGCTAGAGACACGGGCTCATTGTCAAGCCAATAAAAGCAGGGCCAGAGCCGTGTGGCATTAGTAGCTAGTCCATAGCATTCCCATGGCCCGTGGCCCATCTTCAGATACTTTTTATCAGCTGGCAAGCGGGCGCCCAGCAGTCGACATGTTCGTGTAGTTGGTGCTGTAAGTAAAAGTAAATTAGATAAACGCACAATCATGGCAAGTATTGTATGTATATGAGTAGCATGTGATATCAACGTTAAAATGAATCTTAATTGAACCGAAACTGAAGCCGATCAAAGCGCTCGCCGACGCCGCACTCTGCCGCATGATGATGATGATCGCCCCCATGAGGAAATGTGCCTGGTCAGAGCTCAATGAAATTGACAAATGTTTGGACAAATAAACAAGCCGAATGATCGACAACGACGACAAACGCACCAACTCCCCACACATATATATATATATATGTATATATACAAGTAAGTTCTATTTTTGTTGTTTTTGTAATTACCTTGGGCAAATATTGAATGGCCGAGAGCGGGACGAGGGCGGGACAGCGGCATTCCATGTCGCCTACGGTTTTGGGTCAAAAGTTGTAACTGCAATTTTTGCCTCATTTGCAGGCCCATAAAACGTCATGAAGATACCAGGGCTAGCTGGTATCGGAGTCGCGTGTTGCTGTGGTGCTCTGGTGCTGTGGTGCTGCGGTGCTGTGGTGCTGTGGAGTGCCTTGCCCTTTTGGGAATGTGTTGACGCAGCAGACGGACAGGAGAAAGAAGGTAAACAGCAAACAGCTCAAGTTTTTTAGACAACAACAAGTGGAAAAGTAGTTGCTGAGCGAGTGCTGGGATATGGGTTTGCCTAAGGAGAAATGTGTGTAACCAACAGATTGAGTGACTGATGGATGGATGGATGAACCAAGCAAACAAACACACAAACACACACATACACACACAACTATGCGTTTATCTATAGATAAACAGATGCAATGCCATGCCACACACAAGGGATGTGCAGTAGCACAGATACAATCACAGCAGCAGGCACGAATTACAAATACTTTCTGTCAATTAGCTGCGCAATTAGAAACATACATACAATACTTTATAATTAATTTAAAGTTTGTACCCACAATAATAAAAGGATCAAAAATAAGATCTTTGTTGGAAATAAATATTTAATAATTTACAGTTTCTGCACATCTCTGTTTTTCTCTGAGATATTAATAAAAAGCCAAAATCAAATAGTTTTTCTGATTTTACTGTCAGTAGCTTTAGCTCGCCATTTCATAAAATTGCTTTGAAAGTACGTTGAGGCTACAAATCATTTTTGTAACATTACTTATTGAATGGTAAGTGTAATCTTTACAATTTGATTTATCCCATAACATATTAAAGAACTAATGATATGGACATCTGCCAATAAGTCTGCCTAGAAGGCAGATTTTTGAAAACACATTAAAGCTTTAGCTGTGCTTATAGATACTAAGATCTTGATCCTAAGTTGACTTAACATATGCTATGATCAAAATCCAGCTCGTCTAAAAATTCGCTGATTATCAAAAGCTAAAGCCTGATAAGCCACATACGAAACCTCGCTTAAGCCTAAGGCTCGCTTTAATATATTCATTGTGTAAATTAAAGTGGATTTAAAAATTGTTTGCTCAACAAATAGTTGGCAATTCCGATTGGCTTTGGATTTCTCTTGGAACTCTATTGCTGCACCCGATTTCATTGGAATTGCAGACCACCCAGACCGAAATACCATATCAACAAATTGCAATCAGTTAAGAGCACACCTTTCCACTAACATTTCGCATGTTATGTTAGGCGCAGACGTTTAACAGCGGCACTTTAACATAGAGTGCGCTGATAAACAACGATTAGTTAGTTAGTTAGTTAGTTGGAGATGCATGTCAAAACGCGGCAGCATTGACAAGTTGTCGTGATTATTAATGAACAAGCACAGCCTGCAGATACATTTGTATCTTTTGCGCTCCAAACTCAGACAGCTACCACTGGCTCTAGCTGCGCAGCAGTGGATTTCTTTAGCATGCGCAACAACACCAATAACAACAACAACAACAACAAGAGCAACAGCAACAACAACGGCAACATCAACGAGCGCACTTTTTGTGCCTATCAGAGGCGGGCAACGACGACGCTTGTGAATCCAAAAGATACACGAGACGAGAGCGCACGAAGCCAGTCGCCAGCGGCAGTCGCAGTCGCCGTCGCCGTCGTCTTCAGTCGAGTTCCGAACGAGCTGTGGAACGCACGTGTGTGCCGCACGCAGAACCCAAGCAAACATTCGATTGAAGAGAATCCATACGCAAGTTAGTCGAGTCCCAGTTCGAGGCAGAAGCTCGCGCGAATTAATCCATATCCGCTGACACCGGGAACCTACGCGAACTTCCGTGTGATCAATTCCGGAGCGCGCGCGCTTTCGATCTCGGGCCAAAGGCGCATTTGAGACGTGGCCGGCCGGCCGGCCCCCAATCGCGCATTATACTAAAAAAAAGACGGAGTCGGCGCCTTTTAATCTGCTAAAAAATAAAATACCAAAATAACAACAACGAGCTATCTTTAAGCCTGTTTAGATGGATGGATCGGCGTGAGGCATCGAGGCAGACGCGGCGCGTCGTCTGTTCAAACGGGTTTCGTTGCGCCCGATCGGGGGATCTGTCTGGAATCGCTGGCCTTTTGATGTTGCGCCCTCGGCAGCACGGCTATCGAGCAGCTCTAAACGTTTCCAGGAAGCCAACTGGATCGGCCAGGAGGCGGCGGCTGCTGCTGTAAAACAAATAAATCAACATTTTTGATAATGTGAAAACAAAGGAAACACGAAAAACCAAAAACCGTTTGAAGTGTTCACGTGAAAATCTTTGGCACACCAAAAATAAGTTGATTGAATCATGCAAAAAGTGAACTGGAACAAACAAAAAATGTTTGTAAAAAACAAAATGTAGCGGCCAAGAAAAATAAAGCGCGCAAATCAAACGAAAAGTATTAAGTAGTCCAAAAAACAAAAAAGTTCAGGAAAATTAAAAACAACAAAAATTACACGAAAACAAAGTAGTTGGAAACAAGCTAATTAACGTATATATATATAAATACACACAAACATATATCACGACTATCAAAGTTGCATAATCTCAATATAGGAACCTTTAAATAAATATATATATATATACATAATCCAAATAGCAATTAAAAATATTTAATAATTTTTTGATACATCACGCAGTCCCAGAGAATAATTCAAAACATTTTTTGCATACAAATCATTATTACGCGAACATATTTAAATATATAAACACAATATTTGATTAGAACTTAGCGCTTAGTAATTTATTAACTACAAAGTACTTACGCAAACATAAACGCATTCAACAACACGCCAAAAAGTAGACTCTAGACCGGAACCAAACGACAAGCGAAGCATTTAGCCAATCTTAAAACTGATAACACACAACTTTTAACTGATAACTGTTAACCGTTAACTGATAACAAGAAGAAGAACAAGTGCAAGATGCATTCAACATTTCTAAGCCTGATGCTGCTGCTGCAGTTACTTAGCCGGCTGGGACGCTGCCAGGATCAGCAACTGTTGGTGCCGAGCATCGAGAGCAATGCCAATGTGCAACAGCAACAACAACAACAGCAACAGCAACAACAACAACAACAGCAGCTGCAACAACAACAGCAACAACAGCAACAACAACAACAGTTGCACAGCAGCAACATCAACAACCAGCAGCACCTGGGCAATCCCAGCCTGAACAGCTCGATGTTCAATGCGATGCTCGCTGCCACTGGCCAATTGGCTGGCCCAGCCATTGGCGGCACGATGCAGCTGCCCGTTGGCGCTGGCGGTGCGGCGATCAATCAGCTGGGCGGCGGCCTGGCCACCGGCGGCCTGGGCAGCAGCACGGCAAGCGCGCCGGCAGCCGGTGGCATTGGACATGGGCATGTCATGAACCATGGCTCGACTCATGGCATGGGCGTGCATGGCGCTGCCGGACATGGCCCTGGACCAGGACACGCACATGGACATATGATCCCGGCTCTGGCCAATCTGGGCGTGATATTGAGCGGCAAGGGCATGTCGGGCGGCTATGGAGGAACCATGCTGAACCCAGGCGCCACAGGAAACGTTGCGGCAGGAGGCATTGCTGTTGGCGGGGGAGGCGGCATGGATATGCAGAGTCCATAGTAAGTACATTTAACAGTTATTGCAGCATACTCTTAATTGGAAACGCGCCCAAGCAAAATCTTATCATCAATTGATGCAGCTCGTCAAATTCTTTTGTCCTATTAACGTACCCCCGACCAGCCGAGGGCATCCCATGCGTTTTTATGGCATACTCTGGCCCGGGGCCAATTGCCATTGACATGTTGTGTGTGTGTGTGCGTGTGTGCAATCGCCTCCTCGACTGCCTCTGGGCACACAATCTACAGATTGAGCCATCCACAAATCAACTTTTACTCTCTGCCCTCTTCTGCAATTGCAACGAATTGTATATACATAACATATGTTCGCTGGCATTCAAAAGATGAGCTTGAGCTCTTGCCTAACCCTTGACTGAACCGCAGATCGTCAGATCGACCTTTTGCCAGCCATAAAATACTAAATTTAGTATGTGTTTCAAGCATTAAGTTAAGGACTTTAAAGTTATATGCGTGTGCCATGTTTTTATATGGGAGCTCTTGTAATTATGGTCCTATTAAATTTGTGTGCACAAGGTCTTACAACATTACAGCATGCGGAGCTTTGGGTTAAATATAACTTTCAGCCTTATTTGATTAGAAAAAAATCCTCAATATGGGAATACTTAGGCTCTTTTGCTGCCTTTCCCTTCCTCTCATGCCCCTCAGAATAATCGTCAGAAATTGGACTGAATTGAGTGCTAAAAACAACGCAGTTTGGCTAATTATAGAAATTTATCGCGCATTTGAAATATGTTTGCAAAAGAATTTTATCTTCAGCAGCTTTTAAAATTTGTTTTCTTATTTCAAAATAATTTTCTCTTAATATTTCTTGTAAATTGTTTCTATGCTATTTATTTTTTATGGACTCGCTGTCATAGAAGCAATTGTATATTTTGCTAAACACAAGATTTCCACGAAAGATAAATAAAAACTTTGGCTTCCAATATGACTTCATCAAAACTTCCCCCAATTAAGGTTTCAATTTTTTTTTTTTGCTTCCACCGAATTCTGTCTTTGATGTTTGCCAAACAATTTTTCAGTTTAATTGCCCCAAAATGGTCGCACTTATTTGTTTACACTAGATCTCCAAGTTTAGCTGAGGCCAACTCAAATAAATAGCTATAGAATGAAAATGTGCAACAGTGCGAGGACCACACCGACAGCTTGGTGGCACGCAGTCTGCTGACAAATGCAACATAAATCCCCCGAGCCAGAAGTCGAAGTCGGCGGTTGGTAGGCGGCCACTCTACGACACGCCCCGAGGCGCGTTTAAACAATAAAGTAAAATTATTTATACTTGCTTGGCTTTTTTGCGCCTGTCAGCCAAAAACATTTTCATCTTTATTGCAAGGATTGCGCGTTGCGAACGACAGCCGGCAGCCGGCAGGCGGTTGTCAAAATGTGCGAGCCGTCGTTTTTTATGATTATTAGCAGCAACGGGCTGCAGCGTAAATTTTACTTACACTTCACATTCATTTGCCCACCGACAACGGGCAGTGGCCACCACAGAGGGGGCGACACAGAAGGGCGGCCGTGGCTGGGTTATTATTTGTCATTACAAAACCACCCAACAACAATTGCAACTCCAACTCCAGCTCCATCTCCAACTGCTGCTCCAGCTACAGCTGCGGATGCGTCCTGGCCCTTCCTGTGAAAGTGGTCGCAATTTTTTTTTTGTTATGGTTTTTTTTTTTTATTACACAATAGCCAAATGGGCGCTACACTTGCCGCTGCAGCCTGACGGCTGGCTAATTTTATTTCTTTATGCTCGTCGCAATGGGGTAGAAAGTGTTTCAGCTGCTCAAGCGTTGACCCAACCGACGGGCCAGACAAATCGATAGACAGCAACAAGCCCTAGCTATTGCCCATTAGCCAGCCTTTGGCCACGGTACACGGTTCAAGCCGCTTGATTACAATTAATCGGCTTATTTACCGGAGCCATTTGCCCATTTGCCATTTGGCTGATGAGCCACTCTCTACAGCTCCGACTCTGCTGCACTCAGCGTCAGGTGCGTTGCAATAAGCAATTTTATTGATTTTGAATTTGCCATCGAAGTCTTTAAAGATATCATTGACTTGGCTTAGATAGGTATCGACTGCAGGATTAAAATATTAATGAAATTCAAATATCAAAAATATATGCATCCATTTTAATTTATTTTCAAGCCCCTTTTTGCTTAAAAATATTTGATTTAATATGAAAAATATGTAAAAAGGCAAATTTCCCTAAACTGCAATCGGGCATTAACTTCTCCATATTTTCATATGCACTTCGGCCACTTGGTGCTCAATCGACCCTCCCCCTCCCTACCTTTAGTCCCGCCCAGTTGGATATATGGTACTTCAACACCTGCTTAAACAATTCGCTTGCTCTTGCAACCTCATCCGATCTCAGTAGCTGGCCGAATATACAAAGAGTCGAGTTGGGAGAAATGTGGCACGCAGTGTGTGGCAGCCGAGAACAGGGCCTGTTGACACGAATCAATATGCAGCAAAGCTGATTAGGGGATGTAATGAAAATTTAATAATTGCCATTCTGGGCACTCGATGGCCAAAGCCACGTATTTGTTCCGTAACCAGAACGCTTTTTCCCCCGACGCGCGCAATTAATCTTCGGCGCAGGGTTGCGCCGGTTGGTAATTCAAGAAGAACAAGAAGTAGCAGCAGCAGCTACCAGCGACTCAGCAGCCAAGTCAAATAAAACCAAAAACCAAAAAAAAAAAAAAAAAGCAACCGAAAATTTGACTAGGCAGAGACTGGAGGGGGTCAAAGTTGGGCAGGGTTGGTTTCAATTTCAGCCATTTGAAAGGCAAAGCAAAAGGCAAATAATGTAATAATGTTTGACAGTCTCGTTCCCGCTCCCGTCTCGTTTCCCCCCCGCACCCGTCGCTCTATGACGTCTGTTGTTTTGTTAACAGACATTTATGACATTATACGGCGCAAAATGATGTTGTTACAGAGGGCTTAACAAAGCCGACGCCACCCCAGAGGAGAAGAGAGCCAACCCCGCCCAGAGGAAATCGCTTTGAGTCAATCCTTTTGGCCTGCTGTGATTTCATTTGCCTTACAAGCGGCTAAAATCTGCTTAATTGTGCGTAAGCCTGTCCCTGTCCCTGTCCCTTCCCCTGTGTCTACTCCCCTCCCCATTCGCATGTTAAATATTTGTCAAACAGTAATTAAAACTTACTTACTCTATACGGTTGCCCGGGCTGGCAGTGCGAGTACAAAAGAACAACTTAATGTTAACTATGTGAGTTCTTTGAGTTTCAGAAAAGTTGAGCCCTGCTTCTTGTATCTGGGCACTTGTATAGTGCTCCTCGGTATCTCTATAGTGTCTGGCATCCTGGTGCGGAAACATAAAAATGTTAATTTCCACGCCAAAGAAAAGCCAACGAACGGCTTTTGTGTTGCACACAGGCCGCAAATTACGAGTCTGCGTTTGCCCTGGTACATGCCAGATGATTCCGACTTGCCCGACTTGGGCCCTCGAAATTGACGATAACGATTATGTGCAAAGTTTTGGTATTGTTTTTCATATATATATATTTACATCTCTCTTCCCTTTTTTTTTTTGGTTGCCACCAAATTAAAAATATCCCTGCAAAAGAAATGCGGGAAATCTTTGGCGGCTACTGTCATCGCCATGTGGCACCACCGAACCACAAAAAAAAAAAAATTTATTTGTCTTAATAAGCAAGCGACGACAATGAAGGCGACTCTGGGGAGGAACAGCTACTCCATTTCTGGGCAGGCCTCGCCCCGCTTTCGGGGGAATAATGCCATTGCAGAATGAAATTGCAGGCATAAAGTTTTTCCTTTTCCCTCTACTATTGTGGTCTTTTATTTAATTTAATTTTTTTTTTCCGAAGTTTTGGTCCTAATAAGTGGAGGGCCAGACGACATGGTCAAGTGGTTGGTCACGCTCACGACAAGGCCAGGTTTAGAAACTGTGGAAAACTGGGCTTATAAATCCGACAAACGGGTTTTAAAAATTTCTAATTATATTGTATTTAAATCAAGAGATTTTGTAAGCCGAGTTCAAGTATTGCGGCCTTTTAAGTGTGAAGAAGCTCAAATTTAATTTCTTGCTTATAGAATTATTTGTTTCCTTTTCTTTAACTGACATCAAATAAATTGGTTCAATAGGTATTTATAAACCCTTAACCCTATTATCTCAAGGCCAATGGGATAAAAAAACACCGTAGAACTCATACGTATACATATCTATAGAGAATCAAAAGCAATACATACTTGTTTCTATAAAAACAAATACAATTTATAATTTAATTGTGAACTTAAGAAAATTACAGAGCTATGCGGTTTATCATTAAACTTCTCCTTAATTATTAAAATATCTTGCATATCAGACACAACTCTTATATCTTAAAATTTTATAAAAACTAATTTGGTTTTTCACTTACCACCCACTCGCATGAAGTTCATTCAAGTTTCGGTGCTGGCGCTTTGTGCATACATGATTTGCTTTTCTAGCCGTTTTCCCGCCAACAATTTGCCTGCCGTTTGCCATTTGCCATTTGAACTTTTTAATTTTGTCGTTTTGATGGCTGCGTTTTATGATGCCGTTGCCTTTATTTCTAACTGCCCCCATCCCCCTCACCGTCTCCCTCTCCCTGCCCCTTCCTCTCAGCTGCTGCTCGTAGACGTTTCCGTTCGCTCGTGGTTTTTGTCTTAATGATAAACTCTGGGGTTTTCTGTGTTTAAATTCATTTCAGCAGCGTCCTTTGTTGAGACTTGGCCAAAGCTGTGCCATAAAAAAAAATAAATAAAAATAAAACCAGTGAATAGAAAATAGCAGCTGGAAGCCCGATGGGAAAATCGTCTCATAAATTGGCTATATGATGAATCTAATAAAACCGAAACTCAAACTGAAGCCCAGAGACTGCCACTGCGACTGCGACTGCGACTGATACTGAGTCACAGGCACAGCGAGGGTTGCAGTCTGCAGTCGGTAACAAAAGAAATGGAAAATTTTGATTGTTCCC